CTGCGGCCGTGTCTGACGCGGCGTTGCGGCCCGGCTGCCGGCGGTCGCAGTGGTGGCGACTCCCGGTACCTTGCACCTTGCGCACGTCAGTTAAGTTCAGTAGTGTTCTAGGTTAAGTAAGACTACATATTCGCCATGTTACTGCCTGGAGCGATGAATATATGCTCATCTAATGAGTAGCGCTCTAGAATGACTTCTTACGATATCAGTAGGAGATTGGCTGAGCGGCTTATTAGTTGCCTTACGTGTTTCTGGTCTTTCTGGTCGTTTTTGTTATGACACTCCGGCTAGTTAGTTATTAGTTATTAGGCGATAAGTTGTCTGATAGCCGCCCGGGCTCTCTTTTAGCCCACTGTTTCTGGCAACGTGCCAGGCGAGGGGAGTGTCGGGTCTGGAAGGAGCGGATTAGTAGTCGTACCCAATCGTTGCTGTGAATCTATGTCGCGTCTACCTGTCACAGTACACACGCACACACACATACGCAAACACCCACACCCATACACTCACATATTCGCTGGTAGCTCTGGGGATGCAGCGGGGACATGCAAAAAATCAATTGGGCAACCAACAGACAATGGATAATCTAAAGGTTTTGTCTATGAATTGCAGAGGCTTAAGCCAACAAAGCAAAAGACGCGATGTCTTGCACTACATTCGTAAATCCAATTTTAACGTAGTTTTCCTCCAAGATACGCATATGACATCCCGCACATTGCCGTACTTTAATAGTTTGTGGAGAGGAACTTGGTACCACTCGTGTGTTTCTTCACGTAGTCGAGGAACATGCATATTAATCGATAAAAATACACAGCACACTTTAATAAAAAATATTAGCTCTGAGTGTGGAAATTATGTGATTGTTATATGTGAAATATCAACGGAAATATTTGTTTTCATCAATATATACGGCCCCAACAGAGATAACCCAATATTTTTTGAGGAGGTATTTGCGCATCTAGAAAATATTGAGGTCGATCATATTATTCTTGCCGGAGACTTAAATTTCGTGGTAGACCCAAAAATAGACTGTCTCAATTACAAAAGAGAAAACAATGTAAACGCAAGAAAAACGTTTATGCAGCTCGCAAATAAATTTAATATAATAGATATATGGAGAAGATTGAATCCCAGTGAGCGCGAATATACGTGGGAACGCAGAAACCCATTCCAGTGTGGCCGACTTGACATATTCTTTGTCACCGATCACTCGGCAAACGTCATCACGAATGCAACAATTATACCAGGTTATCGAACCGACCATAATGCTATAACTCTAACAATTAAAATAAAACAAGACTTGAGAGGGAATGGAATGTGGATGCTAAACACATCGCATCTACTCAACGAGGAATTTATAAAACGCATAAAAACTTGCATAGTAGACACTTTAAAGCAATACGCAGTGCCAACATATCACTCAGACGTTTACACCGACCACTTTGAATACTCAACTATTCAGCTGACAATAAGCGAATGTCTTTTTTACGAAACACTCCTTATGATGGTACGAGGAGAAAGTATCAAATTTTCCAAGCAACAAGCCAGACAAAAGAGAACAGTTGAAAATAATTTGAAACAAGAAGTAATCAGAGCGCAAAAACGTTATAGTGAATCCAGACTGGAGGAGGATTTAGATTCTCTTGAGTTGGCGAAATATAAATTAGAAGAAATGAGACAGCCAATGATAGAAGGACTCATTATTCGGTCCCGCGTTTCATGGTACGAACAAGGTGAGAAAAATTCTAAATATTTCCTCTCGCTAGAAAAGAGGAACGGGAAATCTAAGCATATTCAATATATAAAAGAAGGAGATCGCATTATTACTCAGACAAAAAACATTATATCAGAATTCACAGGGAATCTAGAGGCTAAATATAGCAGCAGAAAAGACGAAACAGTTGAGGAATCAGTCGTGAAGAAGAACATTACTAAGACAGTGTCTCAAAGCGATAGCTTAAGATTAGAATCGCAACTTACAATGGAAGAGTTAACTAACGCGTTACGTTCTATGAAAAGAGGGAAAACACCGGGATCAAATGGCTTTCCCGTTGAATTTTTTAGAACTTTCTGGGCAGAACTAGGGCCATTTTTACACAGAGCTTTTATCGCATCACTCACACAAGGCCAAAAATTAAATTCTCACAGAGAAGGGATAATAAAAATGATTCCCAAACAAGGTAAATCACCACATTCATTGAAAGGGTGGAGGCCGATAACATTGTTAAATGTCGACTATAAAATAGTTTCATCCGCCGTAGCTATTCGTTTCAAGAGTATAATAGATAAAATAATTAGCTCCTCCCAAACTGCTTATATATCTGGAAGATATATTGGAGAAAATACTCGCTTACTTTTTGATACAATAGAGTCAGTAAAAGAAAAGAATATGGACGCAATGATTCTAGCTGCAGACTTCGAAGCGGCTTTCGAGTCAGTATCGTGGACATATTTAAGATCAGTCCTCCGATGTCTAAAACTCGGCCCCTATTTCTTAAAAATGATTAACTGTCTGTATCTTAATCCTGAAAACTATTCCCGAATTATGATCAACGGACACTTAGGCTCAGCGATAACGTTACAGCGTGGAATCAGACAAGGCGACCCGTCTTCAGGATATTTGTTTAATATTGCCGTCGAAGTTTTAGCAGGGTTAATAAATAAATCTAAATCAATTAAAGGAGTTAATGTATCCCCAAATAAACAAATCCGAATTTCACAATATGCCGATGATACGATCTTGTTACTTGACGGAACAAGCACCTCGATATCAGGCGCCTTAGAGATATTGATGAAATTCGCTAAACTATCAGGACTAAAAGTAAATCTAGACAAAACGTCATGTCTACCAATAGGAACATTAACAACAGACCAACTATCTTCCAGGTGCCATATAAAGGTAGTGAAGGAACTCAAAATTCTTGGGATTTATTTTAGCAACAATACTGACAATATTACGCAGCGAAACTTGGAGGAAAAAGTTCATAATATTAACAGAGATATCGAACAATGGAAAAGAAGAAATCTCACCCCAATAGGGAAAATATGCATAATTAAAGCCTTACTAATATCCAAGCTAGTACACATATTTATGGCACTGCCAAATCCCCCTGCCCAACAGATAAAAGAGATTGAAACCCTTCTTTACAACTTCATATGGTGTAACAAGGGGGATAAAATAAAACGCACCAAACTCATCCAAAGGTATGAACGCGATGGACTGAAGATGGTAGATGTTAAGGCATTCATCGATAGCATGAAACTAGCATGGCTGAAGCGGTTAATGATATCTAAAGCTGAATGGACACATGTGGCGTACACACAGATACCCGATGCGATAAGATTGCTCACTTACGGGAAAGAAAAACTGTCTGTGGAAAAATCCAAGATAACTAACACTTTCTACAAAGATATCATAAACATGGCTACAGTTTGACTGATATGAGACATGATATGAGTGATATGAGACTGGCTACAGTTTATAAACCAACCGCAGAAGAAATTTTATCGGAAACAATCTGGTTCTCGGATCATACTAAATTTTCCAAAACCATCATCACTGCATGGGAAAGGAAAGGACTTCGTTTTATTTGCGATTTGTTTGACAAAACAACCAAAAAATTGTATTCTAGAGAAGAAATAGAAAATAGTTATCAAATTAAAATGTCCTTTCTCTGCTACGAGGGTTTAGTACGTAGCCTCCCAAATTGTTTGCGGTCCGGTGAAAAAATAACAATTGATAATCCAAACATACCTTTTAAAATAAAATTGGTGATGAATGAACAAAAATTTTCGAAGTATGCATACAACATATTTGTTCAATCCCTTACCCAAAAACACATATCAGCCGACCGGAGGATTAAAGAAAAGTGGGTACGAGATACCGGTAGTCACATCATAGGAACGACAAAAAATGTATTACTTGCCACCATGTCCACTTATTTTATGTATTTTCATTATAGAATAGTTACACGCTTATTTCCAACAAACAAATCGCTACATCTAATGAAAATAGAGCCGTCGAGCGAATGTTCCTTCTGTCGAGAACCGATCGAAACACTAGTGCACCTCTTATGGTTCTGCCCAAAAGTTAAAATATTTATCAAAGAAGTTTTATCACACATAAAGCAAAGATATAACAAAGCTATATACGTTAACATAACAAACTGGTTCTTTCTTAACGATATGCAAAGCATAGATATCATTGTCATAACAGTTTGTAAATACGTCGTACACAGGGCCCGATTGAATAAAAGCACCCCTTCTCTCAATTTCATGCTAAATACGCTGAAGATGGAAGCGCAAAAAGAATACAATCGATATAAGTCAAAGGACAAACTGAACGAATTTCAGACAAAGTGGGGAACACTTGCACAAATTCTGCAAAGCAACTAATTGAGAAAACAAGGTCGCCGCGGCATCCCCGGAGCTTCCGGCCCACGCACCCACGCACACACACGCACGCACCTATACACACACACACACAAATGCAAACACACACACACACACACCCACACACACACACACACACCTATACACACAACACAAACATCACACACAAACACATACTCTCACATGCCCGCTTTCTCTAAGAAACGCCTCTGTTGCATAGCGTGTCCCGCCCGCCCCTAACCCAACCCGGCTAACCGGAGGCCGGCCCTATTAAGGGTCGGCCGGCCGGCCGGGCGCGCGGCTCGCCACCCTATCAGGGTGACGGGTCGCGGGCCCGGCCGGCGGCCTGGGGCATCGCCCCAGCGAGAACGAGTACATGTGGGATTCGCGGGGCGATGCGGGGCGGGGCGAGTTTTGTGAACGTTTGGTGCGCTCGCATTGTGACATGCCCAATATGTGCAAGCATCCATATACATGAGTGACATGTGATTCACGATGTACGTGTACCTATACATCATATGTGCGTATATGAACGAAATAAATTAAAAAAAAAAAACCATTGTGACCGGTTAGCGAGTAGCCAACATCAGAGGCTAGCACCACCCACTCACTCTGTAGCTGCTGCGGAGGTCTCCGTGCTCCTCGTTTCCTGGCAGGAACGGGTAAATGACTGGAGGCGTCTGTTCGTGCAACTGGGTAAACTCCACGCCTGGGGACACGAAGGGGAGAGGGTGAGTTAGCTCACTCCTGGAGGGTCAGTCAGCTGGGTAAACTCCACTCCTGGGGAAACTAAGGGGAGAGGGTGAGTCAGATGGATAGACTCCACACCTGGGTAAATTAGGGGAGAATGTCACCTGAGTAAACTCCACGCCTGGGGACACGAATGGGAGGAGTCAGCCAGATGGATAGACTCCACTCCTAAGGAAACAATTGTCCAATAAGATCAGTCAGCTGACCCGGCGATCAGTCGGATGGGCACCGACGGAGCAAATCTATAGGAGGTTACATTATATGCATGACACCTGGACATATTATGAAACTGTCACAGTGAGGTGGGTATTGGGAACTGACGAGCGAGACCAGGGTAAACGTCACACCTAAGGATATATTGGGATGAATGGATCTATGTCCATTGTCATTGGAAGTCAACGCTCTACGAAATCAATCAAACTCTCCATAAGTTCATTTCTCTTTCATTTCATTTCATCTCATCATCTTTCAGCACCTTACCGAGGACATTTGTACGGCATATCAGCCAAGTCATCCCTTCATAAAAAGCGCCATAGAGGAATAAGCCAGCAGACCGTTCCCACCAGCTCAGCTCCGGTCTCTTCTATCGTCGAGTCTCCACCAAATCCCCTTCAGCACTCACCGGCAAAGAAGGGATGCGCCTTCAGCGAGGGATAGTCCGTGCCTGGATCGTCGGCACCCAGCCGCTTCCACGGCTCCAGAACCTGAGGGGTGGAGAAGGCGGGGTCAAACAACCATCCCTTGTTGAGTGTGGTATTAGTCAGGTGGTTAGGCAATAAGTTAGTCGAAAAGCGAGTCGATGAGTCGATAAGTTAGTCAATCAGGGAGCGTTCGTGGTTAGCGTGGTAGTAAGTCAGATATATATACAACTTCAAACAGCGTTCAAATGCGAGAGCAGGTTCAACGCACTTCAGTGCCTCACACCCAAAGCGTAGCAAGGGTCCCAGATATCGCAACGGCTGCAGCAGCATACGCACCAATAGCTTCTGAATGAGGTCAGTGACCTCGACGGAGAAGCCCTCGGGCGGAATGACGTAGTCCAGTGCCAGGATCTTCTTGAAGATCATGTACTGACTCCTGCGAACAGAAACATATCTATGAAGAAGCTGCCTAGATGTGCAGACCGATCTCATAGCCAATCACCACGGAGAGCTAAAAAGCGAAAAATGACAAGGTAAATGTAGCGGGATTATATACAGGCATACCTTCATAACCCGGAAGCCTTCATAAATCGATTAAAAATCATTATTACTTCCCTGCTAGTCCCTCTCACTCCTCCCTCCCCCATCAACCAGCCTCCTTGGTCTTTACCCCCTTCCGCACACACACACTACACTAATCTGAATCTGAAGGGCGGGAGACCAACCACCATCAGCTGATACACCACACAGCCGAGGGCCCACATACACACACTACAATAACTACACTAACCTGGATCTGAACGGCGGCAGACCGGCTACCATCTGGTACACGACACAGCCGAGGGCCCACAGGTCACTGGCGTGGGAGGTAGTCTTCTCTTGGAGTAGCTCCGGGGACACGTACTCGGCAGTGCCCACGAAACTGTTCCGACGCGTCGGAGGGGGGCGCTCGTCTGCAGGGAAGGGGGAGGGGAGGGTGCGGTTAGACGATACTGTGACAGCCTGTGACGCAGGGGAGACAAAGCCTCGACAAGGTACGGCGAGGCCAGAGTGTATCAAGTCAGGTCCACTTCAGTTAAAGCTCGACAGCGATATGTGCTCCAACGCAATGCTTCATCACTCTAACATAGAAGACATTGACGGGGGAGCTTCCAAGCAGCCTTAGTACATCCCAACAGGCACTGACAGACTTTCCATGGCGTGACCAAGAATTCAAGACACTTCTTGGATGCAATAGGACAAAAAGGAAACGAAATACAAGCTCGAACAAAACATGCGAGCCAAGGTAACATTACAGCTCCGTAGCCTTACGCTATACATCCTAGTGCAGTTATCCGCCTCTTTCCTCCGTCCGTCTAACTCACTCTCAGCCATGGTGTCAGACTCGTCCTCCCCCTCTCCGTCTCCGTCTCCGTCTGCGTCCGCGGCCGGCGCCGCACGGCTCTGCGCCAGCAGCTGCCGACCCTCGTCCCGCGTCATCATCTTGGCTGAGCCGAAGTCGGAGATCTTGATGTGCATCTGCTCGTCCAGCAGGATGTTCTCCGGCTTCAGGTCCCTGCGGCAGCGACAGAAACGTTGTCAGTAACAACAGCAGCATTTAGCAGCGTCATCAGCAAGAGTAGAAACAAGCCCAGAAAATGAATCGAATCTGAGGCTGCCTAGGAAGACAGCTGAGAAAAGGGATCCACAAGACGTATGTTTTTCTCGCTGATATTAGTTGTCGGACTTTTGTCCCAGTCTTGAGTTGACATGATGTTAACATCTCAACTACAGACGGGGACGAAAGTCCGACAACTAATATCAGTGATACTAACACCTCGTCTCAAGCATTCCGAAGAATTATATGTTTTTCTCCCCAGCAATTGTCCCTGATTTATGTGTATTTCTCTCTGTTCCGTGATTTCTCACTCGGTCCGTGTACTTATCGCCCATGTATGACCCACGTTCTATGTATTTTTCACCTGTGTAGCAAGTCTCACCTGTGTATGAGCCCCGCTCCCTGTATGTATTTCTCACCTGTATAGTAAACCTCACCCCTGTATGAACCCCCACTCCGCCTGAGTGTATGTATCTCTCATTCGTGTAGTATTTCTCACCTGTGTATGACCCCGGTCCTAAGTATTTCTCACTGGTACAAGTCTCACCTGTGTATAACCCCGGTCCTGTGCAGGTGCTCCACGGCGTGCACCAGCTCTGCCGTGTAGAACTTGGTGACAGACAGGTCGAACGTCCCAACTTTGGTCAGGTGGCTCAGCAACTCACCCCGCTTCGCGTACGATAGAACGAAATCTGGGTGCGATCGCGGTCAAGGAGCGTAACGTACAATATGCGGGCCGGGAGGTAACCATCAACCTATTAGACACATACCGTGGTGATCTAAATGCCCACGCCGCGGCATGCTACCCCACTCCCAGTTTTTGGTGCGAACATGTATAATTAAAGGGTGGCACAACAAATGTAAATAAGAATGTAGTGAAGATTAAGTCATGAATCACTCAAGGTAACAACTGATCATAAAAAACATCATTATTGAACCTAAGAGATAGATTTGTAAAGCGCTAGAAAGAGTGAGCGCCATTGACCAAAAAAGAAAAACGACGCTGAGTCGAAATTTACGACTGCGCGTTCCACCGTTGCTCCCCTTAGATCGTCCAATTGAAACCAGAGCACGAAAAGCCACAAAAACCGCAAAGATCGCCTTGAGTTGTCGATATTTCCCCAACCCACCGAGTCACATCACTAAAAAGGAAACGGCGCAGAAGCAGCACTACTACCAACCCGGCCATCTGGGAGCGGACATCCAATGACAAAACTTTCTCCATTTCTAATAAGTTATGACTTCTACTAGTCCAAATGGGCGTCTGAGGGCCTAGGTGTCTGCGAAGTTGAGCTGGTTGGATATGACACCACGAGCCACGGCGAAGCATACAGAGAATAAATGCCAAGATTCAGAGACACAGCGTCAGTTTAGTGTACAGGAGCCAATGTGGGGGCAATAAGAGGATGCTCAAATCAGGATTCGGGAAGAGTTTACAAGGGACGGCATCAAACAATACCACAGGAAACAGTGTACTGGATACGGGATTAGACTGGGGAGCTGACAATAGTTCTGGTACAGTCACAGGATGATTATGACAGGGAAGAACATGTTAGGACGATTAGAAAAATTGCATGGGCCGAGAAAATAAGCAAAGAAATCGGCGAGCCGCCAAAAACAGATCGTTATGAGTGGGTGTAGTTTCAGTGATGCTTTTCGATGCTAAGTGATGCTTTCCGCGATGCGAGTCGGATGGACTTCGCTCAGGCGGTGTCAGGTCGCTGCCGCCGGGGCCAAGCTGTGTCCGGGCAGGCGGTGAGTCAGTGAGCGAGATGGACTGACGGTGTGAGGGTGCGCGCTGAGGAATACAGAATCTACAAGCTATTTCGGCAATCATGGCGAACTTCGACTTGAAACTTATCCCGGAGTATGATGGCACTAGTGACTTTTCGTGTTGGTATGAGAAGGTGGAACTGGTGTGTGGCCTGCAAAAACCGGCAGTGGACTTGGCCGTGGTGGTGCCGTTGAGACTGACAGGGGGTGCCTCGGCTGTTTATCGCCAACTGAGTGAAGCCGACAAGGCGGACGCAGGGAAAGTGAAGGCGGCTTTGCAGCGTGCGTTTGCAGTCGACAAGTTTAAAGCCTACGAAGAGTTCCGAGATCGCCAGCTGCGGGTCGACGAGTCCGTCGATGTGTTTCTGGCGGACCTACAAAGACTGTCGTCGATCTTCGGAGGCATTAACGAAGAGGGATTGAGCTGCGCATTTGTGGCAGGACTGCCCGAGTCCGTGCGGCACGCTCTCCAGACAGGCGCCCGCATGGAGTCCCTGTCTCTGTCGGAGATGGTGGACCGGGCCCGTGCTATCCTCTGTCGAGATAGCGTTCTGGGGGTAGCTGCAGCGGCAGACCACCGCGGTCCGCGCCGTCAGGAAGCCACCGTTTGCTATGCGTGCGGACAGCCCAACCACTTGGCCCGCGATTGTCTTCGTGGTCGAGGTGGCCGTGGACGTCGAGGTGGTTTGGGCGGAAGCAGGCTCTGCTTCCGGTGCAGCCGACCCGGCCACGTGGCAGCTACCTGCCCGGAAAACGGCGGCGGAGAGGTGGCCTCAGCGCCAGCCTCCTCTCCGGCTCACCAGTGAGTGGCGCTCTGCCGACCACGCGCCTGTCGGTGGACGGAGGGATGTGTCGAGCCCTCGTGGATACCGGATGCACCGTGAGCGTCGCGCACTCCTCCGTTTGCCGCCGCTGGTCTGCGGAGCGAATCAACGTTGTGACACTGAGTGGAGAACGATACGCATGCGAAGGCAGAGGTTACGTGTCAGTGCAGACCATGTTTGGTGCTCGAGTTGAGTTGGAAGTGCTGGTGTCTGCTAGAAAGCCTTTGAACTTTTCATTCATTCTGGGAATGAACGGTGTGACTGCTCTGCAGGGCGTGTTCGTTAGTGCATCCAGTGAAGTGAACTTTGGAGTGGACTCAGCTGTGCCGGCCGCTCCAGTTGCAGCGGCTGCCAGTGGCGTCTCGGATGGAGCAGCCTCATCGCTGCATCCGGGCTGCAATGAGACGGCGGCGCAACCCGAACCGACACCGACCGACCTGCACCCGGACCGGGCACCAGTTGTGGATGCACCAGATTATGCCGTGTACTTTGATCCGACATCTAAGGCGTGGAGAATGAAATGGAAGTGGACTGACGGAGCAGAGCCGGAGTGCTTGCAGAACACTGTCGCACAGTACAGGGTGCCGTGTGACGCTCGCCGTGAATTTGACGATGAACTCAAACGTTGGGTGGAGCAGGGCTGGCTTATTCCCTACAACGAGTCAGAGCTTGGCCCACCAAAGGGTCTGGTGCCTTTAATGGCAGTTCAACAAAAGAACAAATCGAAAGTGAGACCTGTGCTTGACTATCGTGAACTGAACAATTACTTGACAGCTCACACAGCTGACGCAGACGTCTGTGCGGACCAACTGAGGAAGTGGCGACGACATGGCGAAAACGTTGCGGTCGTAGATCTACGTCACGCGTATTTGCAGATTCAGGTTGACCGCCAGCTGTGGCCGTTTCAGACGGTGATGATCGAAAACCAGAGACATTGTTTGACACGGCTCGGTTATGGATTGTGCGTGGCTCCGCTCGTCATGAAGGCGGTGATTCGGACGGTTCTGGAACGTGACGCGGACGTAAACCGGGCAGTGCTTCCGTACGTGGACGATCTGCTGGTGAACGAGGACATTGTTAGCGCAGAGCGAGTGGTGGCTCATCTGGCGAACTTTGGTCTCGAGTGCAAGCCTCCAGAGCGGGCGGCAGGCGGTGCGCGTCTGCTCGGTCTGCGAGTCTCACGGGAGCTTGGCAGGCTGGTGTGGAGCAGAGACAACCCAGTCGGACCACCACCGGCTGTGCTCACGCGCCGTGGAGTGTTCTCGTGGTGCGGACGCCTGATCGCTCACATGCCCGTGTGTGGTTGGCTCCGCCCTGCCGTGGCCTGGCTGAAACGACGCGTGAATGACGTCACACAAGGATGGGATGACATCACCTACGACGGAGTTCTGCAGAAGCAGATTAGTCATGTCGCGGCTCGGGTAGCCAGTCACGATCCGGCACACGGTCTGTGGAGCGTGCGGAGCGACCGCGCTGTGGTTTGGGTGGATGCGAGCTCCGTAGCAGCGGGTGTGGTGGTGGAGTCACCTGACGGCGACGTCATTGAAGACGGATGCTGGCTGAGGAAGGATGAATCCACACACATAAATGTTGCGGAGCTAAATGCGGCCGTGAGAGGCATCAACGTGGCCGTCGCTTGGGACATGCGTGTCATCGATCTGCGCACGGACTCGGTCACAGTGCACCGTTGGATCAACGATGCACTGAGCGGCCGCACTCGGCTGCGCACCAAGGCACACGGAGAGATGTTGATCAGACGCAGGGTCGACATGATTCGACAGCTGATGGATGAGTTCGAGCTGTCGCTGTCTGTAACTCTAGTGCGGAGCGCAGCGAATCGAGCAGACGAGCTGACCCGAGTGCCGAAAGACTGGGTGCGTGATGAGTCATCGTCTGCAGCTACTGAGACAATGGCCGGCTGCGAGGCTGCGGCCAATGGGCTGGCATTGCCTAACTCTGATGACGATTCATCGGGTTCGGCAGTACTGAGAGGAGGCGATCAAGTCGCAGCTGCAGGTGGTAGCAGCGCTGAGGTGGATCGGATGACGCCGCGGGGAGACTCGGCCGGCGCGGCAGAGGACCGGACGGAGGATCAGCTTGCACCAGGAGGCTCTGCTGATATTGCGGAGGCCATCGCAGGAGTGCATGACCGCGCCGGACATCCCGGGGTTCGTCGGACACTGTACTTTGCACGGCGTGACATTTCAAAGGACGTGACGCGAGCTCAAGTGCAAAATGTGGTGAGCCAGTGTGACGCATGCCGCTCAATCGATCCGGCGCCAATGAAGTGGAGGCATGGCTCGTTGGAAGTGTCTGACGTATGGAAGCGACTGGCAATTGATGTAACGCACTACCGGGGCCAGTCGTTTCTCTCGGTTGTGGACTGTGGACCCTCGCGGTTCTGTCTGTGGCGACACCTGAGTCGTCCGGACGCTGATGTCACGATCGCTCAGCTCGAACAGATCTTCTTCGAGCGCGGGGCACCTGAGGAGCTGCTTTGTGATAATGACACCATCTTTCGCAGTCGGAGTTTTGCGGCTTTTGCAGCGAGGTGGGGCGTGCGTCTTCGATTTAGGGCGGTTCATGAGCCGGCTGGCAATTCGATAGTTGAGCGGAACCATCGCACGATCAAGGTCATTGCTGCGCGAAAACAATGCTCGGTGGCCGAGGCAGTCCACCTGTACAATGTAACGCCGCGTGAGGGTGGATCTGCACCCGCGAGTGTCGTGTTCCGGTACAATGTGAGGGACAATGTGCGGCCCGCTGCGGCACCGCCGGCGCCCAACCCCGTACCAGTGAACAGTGAGGCAGCCGCGTATCGTGTTGGCGACCCTGTCTGGGTACGTCGTCGGGGAACTCGGTGTGTTGATGCGTCGCGTCCCGGCACGGTGTCTGATGTCGTTTCTGAGCAGGTCGTAGAAGTCGATGGAGTGCCGTGGCACGTGAGAAATTTACGCCGACGGAATGCCGCCGTCGAGGAGGGGCCCGTTAGTGAGGGCGACAGTGAGGGAGAGAGGGACGGTGAGAGTCTGGTCATTACCGTGCCGGTGGTGAATGATGCGGGCTCAGAGGGGAACAGTGGGCCGGAAGTCGTGGAGGGAGAGTCAGCTGAGATTGTGGGTGAGGAGGAGCGACAGATTCCACGTAGAAGCGAGCGGGAACGTAGACAGGCCCAGTATTTCCAATCGATGGGTTGATCCTTCGAGATCAAGGGTGGAGTGTAGTTTCAGTGATGCTTTTCGATGCTAAGTGATGCTTTCCGCGATGCGAGTCGGATGGACTTCGCTCAGGCGGTGTCAGGTCGCTGCCGCCGGGGCCAAGCTGTGTCCGGGCAGGCGGTGAGTCAGTGAGCGAGATGGACTGACGGTGTGAGGGTGCGCGCTGAGGAATACAGAATCTACATGAGGAATACAGAATCTACAGTGGGTTACGAGGGGGAGCGGGCGTTGACAAGACGTTATTTGACAGTGACCTCACCATATGCACCACAGGCGACGGGTATAAGGTAGGTAAGATATCTGGATTGAATACCGTTTCCAGCCCGCCCCTACCCACCGCCTACAGATGACTTGGAAAGAATTTCAGAGGAATCTGGCAAAACATTCCGCCGGTTTAAATCCCACACAGTCCAGCAACTGCGAGGAATGTACTATGCGTTTCAGACCCTGTGGAACAGTCCTTTTCGGCTATTTCTCGTGGTATATGCGTTTGATTTTAACCAAACTTTGGCATTGGTAGTTTGAGATCCCTACCTAATTTTTATCAATATGGTGTATCAACGAAAAATGAAAAATAAAGGCACTTGTCATTGACTGATAATGTTAAGGTCGTCAGAGCCCTGCTTAGAGGCTGACACAGGCTGGACGCTGTCTCCCCTCTGATTGGTCGAGACGCACTAGCACACTGCGGCTTGGCTCCGCCCACTTGCGGTCCAGCCTCGGGTCATGTCGGCGGCAGTCGCAGTCCGGCCGGCCGGCGTGCGGGCCGCGCACGCAGCGCAGCGGAGTGGAGCACTTGTTTGCATGTCATGAACTTTTAATAAGTTGTTCTACGACAAATAAGGACGGAGGAAGAAAGGGAAAGGAAAAGGAGACAAAGTGACAATGAGACGAACGGTAAACGTTGGCTAGTGGACAACAAACAATATGCATATAGCCGCTAGAGCAGAGACAGGAGACGAAGACGATAGACCAGAGACAAGTGACGAAGATAGAGATTAGGCTATAGACGAGAGACAATATACTATAAACGTATAGACGAGAGACTGACAAGGGGGAGTGAAGGACGGGAGATCATGAACTCTCGATATTGCATATCTACATTTTCAGATTGAGTCATCCTATATTTTTCCCTTGTTTTATTGTTTTTCGGGCCTAAGATCTATCAACAACATTCTGAAAGCATTGTGGAAATGTCATAGAAAGATTTACCTATTATTTTCACCCCCCCCCCCAAAAAAAAATCTTTTAAACAAAAAAAAAAACGAAATACCTACAAGTATCTATGTGGACATCTTCAATTAAATAAGGCCGTTGAATGCAAAGACAGTCCGGTGAATTCTGTCCCGTTACTTCTTAAATGCACAATAGCCTGTAGGAAAACGGCTGTGGAGAGGCTCGCTATAAATTATTGAAAATAAGATTATTTTAAGTCTGCATAGGGAATAACATTCTGTAGCTAGGAGTGCTTATTGTTTTATACATACACCGTCGCGATCTGCATTGAATTCTTCATCCTTATTCACTCCGCGCGAGATACGACATTTACAATATTCACGCAATGATACCTGCGTTAGCGTGTGTCTCGTTCCAGTCCGTCAGAGCTCCGCACCGCTCTGACCCCGAGCGGCGAATGACCGGTCCGCAAATTTACAAACTGTATACACGTCTTCGGAGACCGAGCCGTGACGTCATACCAATGGGCGGAGTGAAAGGCTGTAGCGGCGCTTGGCAGGTGACGTCAAGTGCAGGGGCGGAGCGGAAGACTCGCGGATCGTGGAGCTTTCGATGAGAAATTGTAATGTTGTGTTGAATATTTACAACTAGCTAAAACCCCTGATCTTGTTTGGGAAAATGGTTCATCCGAAAGACCAAGTTATACTTACGATAGCATAATTGGTAAACACAGTTGCCTGCAAACATTGAATGTCAATCAGACCGACTGTCCACGAAGCGCCTGTGGCCAAGTGGCTATGATCCTCGCACATCACCTAGAGGAGCCGAATTCGGTTCTCGGGGTGGCGAGTTTTTCTCATGAGCTCCGACGGCTAATTGAACGGTTTTACGTAAGCCTATAAGTAATATAAAGCAAACCCCTCTTATTGACGAACGCGGTTGGCGGCTCACACGCATGTTGCAGGTCAGAGTGGGTGGTATGAAACGACGCGTCTCGACCGTCTCCGTGTTGTTTGCTAGGTGTGCACGCTGTCAGTGCACGGGTTTTGTGCATTTCGCCGAAAATCATTCTGGATTCTAATGAAATCGGACGTCTAAATAGGCCGACTCGGCGGCGCTCTGAACGGCAGACGGCTTAAAAGATCAACTTGAAACTTATACGCCCGTCTAGCGGCATCGATTTTGGCGAGGCACTTTTCGGATCTCTAACTATGCTCCAAAATGCCGAAGATCCGAAAAGTGCCTCGCCAAAATCGATGCCGCTAGACGGGCGTATAAGTTTCAAGTTGATCTTTTAAGCCGTCTGCCGTTCAGAGCGCCGCCGAGTCGGCCTATTTAGACGTCCGATTTCATTAGAATCCAGAATGATTTTCGGCGAAATGCACAAAACCCGTGCACTGACAGCGTGCACACCTAGCATACAACACGGAGACGGTCGAGACGCGTCGTTTCATACCACCCACTCTGACCTGCAACATGCGTGTGAGCCGCCAACCGCGTTCGTCAATAAAAGGGGTTTGCTTTATATTTCTTATAGGCTTACGCAAGGCTTACGTAAAACCGTTCAATTAGACGTCGGAGCTCATGAGAAAAACTCGCCGCCCCGAGAATCGAACTCGGCTCCTCTAGATGATATGCGAGGATCATAGCCACTTGGCCACAGGCGCTTGGTGGACGACCGGTCTGATTGACATTCAAACTTTGCAGGCAACTGTGTTTACCAATTATGCTATCGTAAGTATCCTCATCCATGAAACTCGTCGCATCACATCAATCAAACAATCAAAATCAATCACGCTGCAACCATCTATACCAATACGGCCTTGGCAACGATTGTTTACAAACAAAATCGCGCGCTCGCCGCACTGCGCCGCCCGCCGCGCTGTGAAAACAGCTGGCTAACCAACTTCGCTCCGCCCCTTCTCAGACGTCATGGCCGACGTCACGCCAGCGGCTGGTGCAATATGATTGGCACTCCGAAGGCGTGTATACAGTTTGTAAATGCGCGACCGGTCCCGGTGTCGCGGCACAGTGGGCGGAGCTTAGCTGGGGCGCAACAGCTGACGCTGCAACGCCATGCTAGCCTCTACCACGGTGCAGAGTTTTCCGATCAATTTTTACCATTACAAGTCAACGACAAGTGCCTTTCATTTTGACATTTTGTTAAAAGACCATATTAGTAAAAATTAGGTAGGCCCTTGAAACACATTGTGTCAAAGTTTGGTTGAAATCAAGCGTATAGGTAACGAGAAAGGGCCAAAAAGGACTGTTCCAGAGGGTCTGAAATGCGTAGTAGGTTTATCACAGGCGGGGTGCGAAATGACATATTGAAGTGAATACCGAAATCGAGCGATATTGAAGCAAACGCTGCGGTACAGTCAAATATCATCAATTACCTCTAGCGCGTTTGAAGGAAGATTCCGATTTCATTTCATGGTTCTGGTAAGTCATCAATTTATATGGGCGCGGTCATTGACCTTTGTGAAATCCTACTGGCTTTCACAAGATTTGCACATCGCAGCAAGTTTGCCTGGCATTCGAAGCCCATCACTGATAAGCGCGCACGTAAGCGCGCATATGAAGCGCAATAGGCACACATCACTCTAGGCCTGTGCGGTGTGTATGACCACAACACCTGAGGACTTCAGTTCTCATCCCTCATATGGCAGCCGTGCGTCTGTCATCTGCCAGCCGTGCGTCTCTCATCTGGCAGCAATACGTCTGTCATATGGCAGCAGTGCGCTGCATTGATGACGTCACCCGGTGGCCCGGTGCCACGGCAGTGTCACCGGACACGTGATCAGAGGCCGTGCGCGGCGCGTGAGCCAGCCATTCACCGTGGAGCGGCAAGTGATGAGGGCAGCCCTTGACACCCCTCGGCGTGCTACACAGATGGATGGATAGCGGTAGGTAGAACTCATCACTGAAAGGTGGTGGATACAGTGGAGGCAACGGGCAAACCAAAGTGGGAATGAATGAAGGGTGCGAGGCGCCAGGCTAAAATACAGGCCGTCTGCACTGCGGTTCGAGTGGATGGCTTCAATTACGCGCAGTAGTTTAGTCAGACAGAACTTTCTTGAGTCGAAAATCAAATTACTTTTTCAAAAACATCTAGCAAGTTGGCTTCATATTACTCTCACCCCTATACTAAATAATTGATTGGTATGTATCCCGCTCCGCAGACCTCTTACTCCCCTCCCTATCGTTTTTTTTTCGGTCAGAAAATCAACAGCCCCATTTCCTGCGTCCTTCTAGTTTACTACATCTGCGATTAATTTCATACCACCTTGTTCCAGTTCCCCGTCTTCTTATCTACAACCCCTTCGGTAAAAGTTCATTGCATTCCTCCCATCCCCTTCCTCTCTCGTCCAATCACAATCGCCAAGGATACAGAGTCGCTCCTCGTCCTGGAAGGTGCAGTAGAGCGATATGAAGAACGGACAGTCGCGGCGCCGGCTCTGACTCAGGTGATTCAGGATGTCTCGCTCTCGGCGCACGTACTCTGCTTTACGCTCACGGATGATGTGACGCTTCTCGCAGACTTTAACTGTGAGCAGAGAAATAGGGTGTGGTTAGAGCATGTGACGTTTTTTTCGCAGACTTACTGGAAACGCGTACACAGTGTGAGGGTAGTAACACAATGTAGCGCCTTCCAGACTTTTACTGAGGACACAGACCCGTAGTGAGGTTAGAACATAAGGTAACGCTTTCAGAACATGGTGTGAAGCTTCTCACAGAGTTGAACTGGGAATTCAGAAACTGATGTAGAGTACGTCAAAGCAGAAAATGTGCGGAAAGTTAAAAGTGAGAGCATTCGAGGAGTTCATGATAACCGGTGCAACACCAAGAACCAACGAAATTTAGTGCACGCATCAGAGGAGCTCACGATGACTAATAAAAACACCTAATCCCTAGCTTAATTTTGTAGTAAAAACAACGCATTCCTACCCAGACAGCGCTCCCCCATAGCCGGTCCCCTCCCCTGCTCCCCCCCCCCCCAGCTGGTCCCAGTCCGGGTCATGGGGTGCCACCGCCGCCGGCTAGACAGGTCAATAGGGCACCGTGGCAGCGGGCTCAATCGATACCGCCAGGGGCGGCAGCCGGCAGCCCGGCAGCCCGGCCCGGCCGGGCCAGCCGCAGTGGGGAGCCGTCTCGGGCGGGCGGGGCAGAGGGGGAGGGGGCGGACAGAGGGAGGGAGGGAGGGAGGGAGGGGAGGGGAGGGGAGGTGAGAGAGGGAGGGGAGGGGAGGGGAGGTGAGAGAGGGAGGGAGGCGTGGTGACGTCAGCGGTGGTAGAGGAGGGACAAAACAGAGGACAATGTGAAAGTAAAGGTGACATGTTTTACATGATAATATAAATGAAAGACGGCACAGCTTTTACAGGTTTTGAAAGTAAGCCAAAAAGGTGATTAGTCACTGTTGTGACGGGGTTAAATCAAGGAATCTGAACTGGGCAATAAGCGACCAACACAATAAATCACCAGCCCACAGATTGAGGGCAAATACAGCTAATAAGCACCAGAACACACAAACGCCAAAGGCACAATACATTACATCCCCGAAACACTGATACCACCATCAGATCTCAAAAACACAATACACCCCGCAGAACAGAACGCGAAGCCGAATTTCACGCCAGCTCAGAATACACACACCACAGCACCCTGCACGAGAGACCGGACATTCCAGCCACGCCACCGAATAGCTGGTGACTCAGATGGGGGCATGCAAAATACACGCTCAGGGCTCATGACTAAAGAAGGGAGAGGGGGAGGACCGGTAGAAGTTTTTATAAAATAAGAGGCAGGGTCAGTGACAAATGAGCGAACATTGAGAGCGACTAGGAAATAGGAGATATCGAAGGGATAGATAAAAACATTGACAACAGAAAATAAGAACTTAGGATAATGGGCAACCAAGGAAGGCAAGCAAGCAAAACAAAATTAAGTGTCAATATAGATTCATTAAAGACATACTAATGTACTGCTCCACTGAATCAAATCACTTTCATTTCCAATGAATTCCAATATCGCGAAAGGAGACAGAAAGCAAAACCAGATACAATCCTATCCTCTATGAATGGGTGCACACGACTCTATTTATTCCTCATTCATTCCTCCCTCCCCTGCCTATGCCAATATTCTTCCCGGAACACGCACCGATAACTACATGCTGCTAAAACTGGCGATACCGCCTCTCTCCCTTCCTTAGAAGGACGGGAGCGGCCGCAACCGCCCACCCCACACATAGCTCCCTCCCACCGCATATAGACACATGACATCACTGTGATATCACTTATGACATCATATCTGACGTCAGAAGCGCACAGTCTCCACTCCAGTGCTGTATAAATGCATAGCAAGGATTCACGCTTCAACATTCAGTAGTCAGTAATTCATATAGACACAAGGACGGGGGAACAAATAAATAGACAGACAACACGAAGACACATAGAGACAAGGTCATGTACGGCCCCACCCAATCCAGTGACATCCACTAAATACAGATCACATTTGACAGACCGCCACCGCAGCCTTCAGAGAGAGAGAGCGGGGTCGGCTGCCAACAAATGCAGACGGGAGAGGGCGGGGTCATTCATAGCCCGCGCGGCACATACGGTGCAGCTGCACCGGATGCACCGACCGAATTCCAGAGAATGAATGGATGGATGAAAGAATGGACCAGGAATGCAAGATAAGAGAAAGCAGTCTATGGAGCCCTATACATTTCAGGTTTTGACAGGAGGCGAGTAAGACATAAACCCTTGGTGAACAGAAATGTTATCTTTATCGAAGCTCACCAAACATTAATAAAAAAGACAAACAAGGTAAACCAGATGACGTGCTAATACAAAAATTGAACTGAGTTATCAAAGCTGAGTGTGGGCGGATGTATAATTAACTGAAGGAAACTGATACCGAGAACATCCATCAGGACATGCTGTATACAGAGGTCTGTACGCAGAGGTCTGTATGCAGAGGTCTGTATGCAGAGGTCTGCATACAGAGGTCTGATACAGAGGTCTGTATGCAGAGGTCTGCATGCAGAGGTCTGTATGCAGAGGTATGTATGCAGAGGTCTGTATGCAGAGGTATGTATGCAAAGGTCTGTATGCACAGGCATGGAGATGTATGTACTTTACTGCAATAAGCTTCAAAGGAAATTCTACATGTGCCATCAACTACGGTGATTATACATATAGCGTCACGGTTCACACCAAAAGAAACAGACGCCAATGCTTTCTGTCAGCGTGAGCAGGAGAACATGACGCCCACTTACTGGCCACCTCCCTGTCGATGTGGATGTCCTTGCCGATGTAGACGGTGGAAAAGCTGCCCTGGCCAATCTCTCGGCCGAACCTGCCGAACAAGGTCAGGGGAAGGTCAGTTAAGGTCAGGGCAGGGCAGGGCAGGACAAGAAACGGTTGGTCAGATCAGGGCAGAGAGCATGACAGAGCAGAGCAGGGCAGAGCAGAGCAGAGAGCATGGCAGCGGAGCACGGCAGGTCAGGTCAGGTCCAGTTATAGTCAGGTCAGGTCGTCAGAACAGAACGTCAGAACGTCAGAACGTCAGGGCAGGACCGGGCGGGTTAGAAGAAGTAACGTTCGGCGGGCTCAGTTCAGCAAAGATAAGATCCCGACAAGCGAGGCAAGGTCAGGTGCGTCAGGTCACGCCCGATTAAGTCGAGTTTGGGGTCACTCGGGTCAGCTGGTCTGTCAAGCCCGGATCCGTTTAGGTCAGCAAGATAATTTTGGTTCAGAACATTGCGGCTACCTTACATAACTGACTTGTATGACCTTTACTAGTCGGTTCCATTGGGGCTAATCATGGGAGTTCTCTTTTCTCCTTTACTGGCATTTGCCGGGGGTCGCTTGCATCTGCCTTTTTAGTTTATCAAAGTTCAAATCCGCAGAGTGAAAGTTAGTTTATTTGATCAAAGTTCAACCTAGCTTAAAGTTGGTGAACGCTGGGCCATGAACACTAGCGGGGGCGCATTGTGCAAGTAAAGTTCAGGTGAGAAGGAGTGTCAATGGGGTTGTTGAAGAGCAAGTCCGAACACCCCTTGGAAACTCCGCAGTCTCGCTCATATTAATATGGCAGGAGTACCTAATATCGCTCACCAGCTCACCCGTAGTCCGTTCAAACTGAGACTAGGAGTAGTCTCGCTCACCCATCCACCCATAGCCCCACAGTCTCGCCCAAATCCCCACCCACCGTCCCGCAATCTCGCACACTACACACCCACAAGTCACGCCCATACTGAGGAGAGAAGCCTCGCTGTACACCCCCACTTTCAGTCCCGTAGTCTCTCTCACATACTGTGGGAGGCAGAAGTCTCGCATACAATGACACATCCACAAGTCCCGTTCATACTGAGGGCAGGTGAAGTCTCGTTCATACTGAGACCAGAAGCAGTCTCGCTCTCCCAACCCCTCCACACTAGCAGTTCCGCAGTCTCGCTCACACCCACGCACCTATAGCCCTGTAGCCCCACTCACACTAAGAGCAGAAGCCTCACGCCCACCAAGCTATAGACCTTGTAGTCTCGCTCTACTACACCCACCCACCTGTAATCCTGTGCCGAGCGTCGGGTGGGTCTGCGCGGCGTGGTGCCTCCCGCCGGCGGTGTGCAGCTCTCCTGATCAGAGGCCGAGCCAGTCTTGGACGGGGCAGAACCGGCCGGCACGGGTGCGGGCGAGCTCGAGCCGCCGCGGACCGGGGGCACCCGGCCCTCCGACACGGGCACAGACATCTTCCGCACCACTGAGGAAGACGGGGGGAGACAGAGGGGTTAGCTAGAGGTCACAGGTCACAGATACAGGTCACCCGGCCCTTCAAGACGGGCACAGACATCTTCCGCACCACTGAGGGAGATAAGGGGGACGGGGGTCAGATAGAGGTCACATGTCACAGATACAGGTCACTCGTCTCTCCGACACGGGCACAGACATCTTCCGCACCACTGAGGGAGAGAGAGGGAGATGGGGGTCAGCTAGAGGTCACAGGTCACCGATAAAGGTATGTACATAGAAACGCCACCCGGCTCTCCGAGACGGGCACAGACATCTTCCGCACCACTGAAGGAGAGAAAGGAGAGACTGGTCAGAGAGATACAGATTATAGACACAGGATACAGGTCACCCGGCGCTCCGAGACGGGCACAGACATCTTCCTCAGAGGGGTCAGAAAGAGGTCAGAGACACAGGTCACAGGGACAGGTCGCAACACATGTCTGGCACAAGTCAGTACCTGTACGTCAACGTCCAACGACACAAGTTGCAGGGTCACAAATAAATCAGCGATACGGGTGAGCAGGGACACGGCGGGTCGAAACAGAGATAAGCCATCGCATTGATCAGAATGGGAGAGATGAGACAGGCCACAAGAACTTGTCCTAAAATGTACTGAGAGGCACCACAAATGAAAAATCTACTAAAGCTTGTGTCGTCAGCTACATAGTGTGTTACAATTTACCCCGACGATCGGTGCCCGCCCAGTAGTCACACATAACACAGTCAGCCAATGAGCGGCCGGCACACAGCGCTGGCGGCCGCGCCAGCCAATAGGAGGGCAGCAACGCTCGCGAGTCAGCCGTTTCCCGACCACACAGCACGGAAGGCAACATCAAAAATTCTAGCAGGCGGCACTATGCAGCATGCAAACAAAATCTCTCTCACTATGTAGATGTTGTTTTGTTTTCACGGAGGTGTGGATTGGGATGTACCGATTATTATTTCCTGACATTTGTGTCGGTTTCCCTTTTCATCCATCCACGGAGTTATCGAGTGGATCCATATTCCATACGTCATTACGCATTTCCTCCGCATGCCGTTCGTTCATCGTTTCTGTCGAATCAATCACGGATTCTGAGTACTGGCACGGCTTCTCCGAGGAATAAGGGACGGCACCGCCACCGCTGTCGTCAACACTCCATTAAACTCGGACAAATGGCAGGCTTAGAGGCAAACAACGCGGTGAATAAAGTGAGGGTATATGGGGGATTTTAGGACCTGTGATTCGGTGATGGTGGGATATTGTATCGCCACAATATTGCGTTATGCAATATCAGAGGTAATGTGCTACGAGGGTGAGGCCTGAATAAAAGACAGGGAAAGTACAATTCCATCATGTGGCGCATTGCAGGATCAGGGGAACTCACTTTCAACTTTCTACATGAATCGTTAAGGGTTTTCTAATGAGTTCATACTTCATGCTAATGTGCTTTCTGCCTTTTAAATAAACACATTCCGATGAATGAAAAAAATAAGCGCAAAAAAGTGAGCTGAACATTTTCAGAACTATTCATTGCCCGCAATTTTTGAATGAATACAGCTGCCAGCTTGCTGCAGCTCCGCCCTGCCATGTTGGCCAGCATTTGACAAGATCAGACCAGGCCGGATCAGGTCTGTCACCTCTCGATCCTGGCGTCAACTGCATACACCATCACCTCGCCACCAGAGGTGATCATCCCCACGTCACAGTCCACCCCCACCCCTACCCTACCACGGTCTGCAGGCCACACGGGGTCACCGCCTCCGGGGGCAGCAGGTCACACGGGTCACCGCCTCCAGGGGTAGCAGGTCACATGGGTCACCAGCCTCCCGGGGTAGCAGGTCACACGGGGTCACCACCCTCGGGGGCAGCAGGTCAAGGCCGTATCGACCGCCCCCGTCATCCCGGTACCGGCTCCCGAGGTACCACCACTAACCGGCAGGCACAGCACGGCCGATCAATGCTAGTCGGCTAGACAGGACGGCAACGGGGAGAGTTTTCAGACGACGGCGCCGCGGCCGCAGCCGCTGACGCTTCCAGTAGTTATTGTTTCAGCCGGTGGTCCAGCTGCTGCTACCGCAACGTTAGATAGTGTTTCTGCTGCTACTTCTGCGCCATCGCTTCAGCTGCTGCTTCTTTAGCAGTCGCTATCGCTTCAGCTGGTGCCTGCTACCGTAACTGCTTCAGTTTGCTTGTTGTTTTGAGTGTTGTAATCCACGGTCGCGTCAACTTGACGTCACTGTGCGCCCATCCACTTCTGTTGGTGTTTATTCCGTCATTCTGAGTTGACTTTATCCACTGCTGAGGTCAAGTGGCTGTCGGTGAGTTAGCATCGCTTACGCCGTTATTGCCGTCGCCAGACACAAGCCCCAGCGGAATACATAGAAGAGCTGCTGAAGTTCCACTGACCCGCATTGTCACAGTTTTAGGAAACAGCCTCAACCTCAGAAACTGTGGGCCGGGGCCATCTAATTTTGCCGCCTCTCCGAGCCCAGCTAACCAGATCCGGGCGGTAGGGCCTTTGCTCTAATATCATCTCAGATTCTCAGTAGTCTTCAACTCCGCCAAGAGGCTATCAGGCTATCAAAAGCTAGCTATCCAGATCTGGGCGGCAGGGCCTTTGCTTCGATCTCACCTCAAGGCTCTCAAAAGTCCCCAACTCCACCAAAGCCCGTTCATTCCACCACGTTTTTGTCACCTAACATCTCTCCTCTCATTTGACAATCCGTTTCTACCGACGCCTCAATACCATTCCCATCTCGAACCCATTAGGTACGCCCGCTGCTTCAAAGCCGGAGCTCGACCGTTGCAGGATCCGGCCGGCCCAGACATTGATTTTGTCGGCAGCCTTGAACGCAGCAGCGGTCCGGAGCTCGGTTGCCAAGGTCATTCCCGGATCAGGGCAACACCCTCGTGCGAGTGTGCGTAGGTCGGTTAGAGCCGTCCAGCGGCGGTCCTGACCCACGCAGACGTCGTAGCGCAGGTGCATGACCTCTATGCACGTGTACGAAAACGTGACTTCCAAGGCGTAACGGTAGATGAGATGGGGAGTTTACACATGAGACTCCTGCATAGACATCCGTCCCGACTCCTCGCTGACTTGGCGTCTTACACCTGGGCGGAAAGTCTTCTGTTTGCTCACGTGCATGCATGCAATACGCCGTGCAACATCTAAAATGTGTGTCCCATCATTGGCAGCCCTACCAAAATCTCACGCATACTGTAACGAGAGTTTACCATCATGGAAAATACGACAAAAACCGTGCACATTGGCCGAACGAGTACATATAGATACTGAAGAGGCATTTTTATCGGGCAGCTCAAAGCGCATCGCTCGCCGCACGACTAAGCCGATTACGAGGGTGTTCGCAAACGAGTGTCCTCTCGACTCTCCAGCCAGGAGATGAGATGAAAAACGGAGCCAAGGCAACAAATCGCAAACGTTTGCCAGTTCATTTATTCATGTTTCAGTGCGCGCTAACTGCGATCGCCCAAGAGGACTAGCTTCATGAAGCGGTATGACCCCACTACCCGATGCCCTCCTTCACCTGATGATCTCCTCAGGATACCCTCCCCTCTCCCGAGTATCATACACCACGGCGCGCCGCTCAGATCCGGCATAATTACACCTGCTGGGAGCTGCCGGGCCTCATCAGAGGCCGGCTAGTATTTCCAATTACCTGCCTCCTGCGGTGGCTGTACCGGCGGAGACAATACGCGTCCCGGGACGGCGCTCCCGGTTCGGTAATCTGGAGACCGGAGCTGGTAGCGATCAATAACGGTGGCGACGTAGAAAGGTCGGGAAATTCTACCGCGCAGTGACCGCGGTCCTCAGCAGAGTTTCCCCATTCGTGAAGCACATTGCACGGTGATCGTTACCGTTCCATCCTTTGAATTCAGTAAGAATACTTAAATATTTCAAATTCATGAAATTGGAATGCTCTCCAATCGAGGCTTTTTGCCAGTCTCGATTTCTACAGAACTTACAGAACTCAAATGTTTGACTTGAGAGTCCACAATCACACGCCAAGCCTAAGATGCCTAGTCTCCACTCGATTGTCTAGAATTTAGAGCCCCGACGCATGGCCTTCCCACCCACCTGGCCGCCGACATTGACGAAGTGCGCCGTCGGTTTCGACAGGTGCGGCAATCGGTACCGACGAGGCCCCGACAACACCGCTATAAGCCCCGCCGCGGGTCAAACTGCGCTATAAAGCGGCCTACACAGCACCCACGGGCGGCTTGCAGCGGAATCCCGCAATAGCCTTGCCCGCACACCGCGCGGGGGCTACTGCAGCTGCTGGTCTAATGGACCACGGGGGCGGGCAACACCTTCAAAGGAGGATTGCAGGCTAGTGGCCGGCGGTGAGCGGGACTTCTGAGGACGATATATGAAAACTGAGCATGTCGCTAAATGAGAAGCTTTGAGATGATTTAGAAATATTATGTGTCCAAGCAATATGAAAGCTTATACGAATGCACCTGCCATCACCAGCTCAAACGAACTGACATGGTTGATGTAGGATCAAGCGCAATGGTTATAAATGAACATGAACACATCAGGGAAACCCCATCAATCTTGATCCTGCTGATACCTTACCTACCCACAAATCTCATTAGCGAAAACGCCTAAACGAGTTTAAATTTGCGCCCAGAATCGCTTATGAGTCATACCAATCGCCTCATTGCACTTCGTGCGCAGTGTTGAGCGATTCCTGTCACTCTCCGCCTCCTTCCGGCGGGCCAGACTCCCAGAGGCCCGCGGCGCCGACACTTCCGGCCAGCTTCCGGTTGCAGTTCCCCACTTCCGGTCTGTCGTGAGTCGGCCGCGGTCCCCACTGCGCACAAACTTGCACTGTTGCAAGTCTGTTGGCATGTTTTTTTTGCAAGTAACGGTCTTTTTCTGGAATGGAACACTCTAAGAAAACGGTGATATGATACTGAGTTGGGCATTAAAAATAAATAAGAAGCTGAGGCATTTCCCGAGTACC